TGTTTACTCCATGGTGAGTGGCTCGTGCAAATCTTTATGAGATGAAGAAGTGGCCCCAAGGTGATCCGCTCTGATCAAGGTTTGGAGTCATCCTGGAGACAGGTCAGGTCACAGTTATGGTCCTGCTGTGGACATCAACAGTGCATCCATTAAACTGCTGTCGCACTTCAGGCTACTCAGTTGAGTGCCACATCAGTGCCCTTTCTTGTAGCTGTGACCAAATACCTGGCGAAGCAACTTAAGGAAGGAAAGGGTTCGATACACTCCACAATGGCAGAGGAAGCGTGGCAGCCAGTCCAGTTGCTGCCCCTGGCCATAGAAGGCTGCTGTCTCACATATGAGAGATCTGAAAGGGGAGAAGGGAAGGCCTGCTCTCTGTTGGCTTTCTCCTCTCCCCCTTTTATTCAGGCTGGGGTAACAGTCCATGGGATGTAGGCCTCCCCCCATCATCAATCCTCTCTGGAAATACACCCCCAAGAGGTACTGACCAATGCACTCGGAGTTTCTTCATACTTGAACACAGGCAAAAGGCTGAGAATTGATGAGTTTCTTATGCAATCAAGTTGATAATAAAAATTAACCATTGGGGCCAAGCATGTAGTCACATGACTACAATCCTAGCACTTCGGGGTGGAAGAAGGAGGACCAGAATTCAAGGCTATCTTTGGCCAGCCTGGGCTACATGAAATGCTTGGAAATAATCATCACGAGTACTGTCCCACTCCTTCATATCCCTTGCTCCTGGGGGGACCTGGATTCTGCATTTTCCCCCAACATCAAGAGAAGTGAGGCAATGGTCTGTGGCATTTCATTTTTAGTAGGAAGTCAGTTTGCCTCCTGACATGGGGGATTCCCCAATCACAGGAAGAGGGCACCCCACCCCCAAAAGTAACAGATGACATTCTAACACTAGGGGAGACGGACTCATCACAGTCCCCCATGGGCCATAGGCATCAAGCTTTGCTCATGGATGCTACTGGAAAGCTGACAACTTTTAACCCAGTGTTCACTTCCTCCAGCTCCGGTTCCTCTACAGGACCCTCTGTAAGGTGGCCATATTATAGTCACACTCTCTGATGTGACAGGTGACAAGGGTTCTTTACCTCCCTACTGTTCACCAGGGGCAGAGCTCTTTCTGACCCCCACGACACACAATTTGCATGCTCTAAAAGAAGTGAGGAAATAGTGTATTTAAATCCTGTGGTCTTCATGAAGTTAGAGAAGAGGCACCCTCGGCATTTTACTGTGAACATCACAAACCCCGTACTCAAGAGTGGCGAGCGGTCTAATCTATAGCGCTATTTGACAGGATGGCTCTTTCTAGTTGCTTCTCGCCAGAGGGGAAGGCTTGGAGCGACATGGCTAGAAAACCATCCATTTTCTATGAAATAAGGAAAAGCACTGGGGGCCTAAATAGTAAGGTTATCAAACATCTTACATACAAACAGCTACCTTAAAAGGACTGCCACACAAGCAGTGGTTTTCTCCTGGTGGTAATGTTTGCTATTTTAACGTACAATATGGCACTTTGCAGACACAGGGAACTCAATGAATTTTCCTTGGTGGTGATAACAGCTGGAGCGAACATAAATTGTCTCTTATTTTGATAACAAAAGGCTTGGCATTTATTATTTTCGTAGAAGCCATAGAGGTATTTTAAAATAGTACACTAAAAATGCGAGTGAAGTGTTAGTCTTACTGGGTATCATCACCAATTTCGATGCGCTCAAAGTAAGATTATTATCATCTACTAAAACACTGTCCCTGCATTCCACTCACCCAACCTCCTGTAATGTCAATGGCTCAAATGTCATAAATTAATCTAAACTAAGGATTAACGGTTGGTAAAACACCGTTAACTGAACTGCAGACCTCATTTAGATTTCCTACCATTTCATCTCCATGAGAGACGCCAGCATCAATTTGTACTACAGGGCCTCTAACGCTTTGATAGCAAAACTACACTCATTCAGACTGACTGGGGTTAGACACAAGATGGTTTGGAAATGCTGCACTATCTAGCCTTTTCTATGCCAAATGCTTAACATGCTATGCTCTGAACTCATCCTTCCCAGAAATCAAGGGGTGGGGGAGGCACTGGACGTTATTCTGTTGGTGTTACAGATGATACAGTCAGCCGTAGGATGAGGCCAAACAATGTTTGCAAGACAGCTCTTTGGGAGGCTAGATCTGGTCTAAGGTCTTTCCCAGTCTCTCAAGGTCTCTCCATCCCTACCCCACCTCTCTCTGTATGCACGTGGATGTATGTAGATGCCCGTGGATGTAGAGGTCAACCTCAGGCCTCCGTGCTCAGCACTGCCCACCTTATTTGGGCTAAGGCCTTTTTTATTCCAAGGTCCTTGACCATGGTCACAGTGGTATAGACTGGGGACATTCATTCTGGGTGTGAAACATTGAGCCAGATCTGCCCAGACTCCTACTTCAAAGGTCAAGTGAATTAGCTATGGCAGGTAACCTCAATGGGGTGGATGACTGTCCTAAGCCAATAAGAAATATGGTGCTCTTTGTGGCATGTAGACAGGGTTTCAACTACTCAGGGAACACAGAAGCTCCACCCTTTCACCTGGGTGAGGGAGGGGCTGGGTGAGGGAGGGACTGGGTGAGGGAGGGGCTGGGGTGAGGGAGGGGCTGGGGTGAGGGAGGGGCTGGGTGAGGGTGGGGCTGGGTGAAGGTGGGGCTGGGTGAGGGAGGGGCTGGGTGAGGGAGGGGCTGGGTGAAGGTGGGGCTGGGTGAGGGAGGGGCTGGGTGAGGGAGGGGCTGGGTGAAGGTGGGGCTGGGTGAGGGAGGGGCTGGGTGAGGGAGGGGCTGGGTGAGGGTGGGGCTGGGTGAGGGAGGGGCTGGGTGAAGGTGGGGCTGGGTGAGGGAGGGGCTGGATGAGGGAGGGGCTGGGTGAGGGAGGGGCTGGATGAAGGTGGGGCTGGGGGAGGGAGGGGCTGGGAGGGAGGGGCTGGGGGAGGGAGGGGCTGGGTGAAGGTGGGACTGGGTGAGGGAGGGGCTAGGTGAGGGTGGGGCTGGGTGAGGGTGGGGCTGGGTGAGGGAGGGGCTAGGTGAGGGTGGGGCCAGCCTGCTCTCCAGCTAGAACATGGAGAAGCATGTTGCAAACATCCCACTGCCTTTGGCTTTCCTTCCCTGAGTGTTTTAAGGCTTAATTAATGTGTGTAAAGTGATCTGAAACATGGGAATGAAAAGAGCCAGGGACCCGCAGAGTGCCAATAATTACCTGAGGCCAGACAGCTGTAAAAGGGAGCCAGAGGGGGCCTGGAGAGACTGGGAGAGGGCTCTGCTTAGCAGCCAGCTGGCTGGCCCCATGCCAGTTTGGACTGTTTTTGGCAGGGTTCGGCCCCATGCCTTCCTCTCAAGGCTGACAAGGCAGCTACACTCAGGAGAAATAATTCTCTGGGGACCCGCACTGGAGCTGAAGAACCAGTGTGAAGACAAAGTGTGGCCATTTTCACGAGTCGGCCCTACAATGGAGGAGATAAGACAACACTTATCCACCTCTCTTGTCAAAGCAAGACAACTTCCAGTTCCTACATTTTTGGGGCCATGGAGGGACGCACATAGAAACATCAAAGAGATGAATGAGTCACAGCTTTCCTCTTGACAGGAGGCACTATGACAGTCCCATCACCCGTGGGAGGCAATGAATCTCTTTAAAATAGTGGGTGGAAATAATGAGGTCCAGGGCCCACGCTGTTGCCCCATCTCCTCGGTGTGTTAGTAAAAGGGTAAGACGATCAGTTTCATGGAGGGAGTTAAGGCTTGGGACTCCACAGGGCGATGTCAAGTGGCACCTCGTTGCAGTTCAAAGCATGCAGAGAAGCAGGGGCAAGGCTTTCCTCCACTCTAACTTCATCCCTACCATCATCTACAAAGTTTGAGAGCATCCATGCCTGTGTACATAAATAGTGGCTATTTATACAGAGTAGCCCAAACTGCTATGATGATGGAGTTGGCAAAATGGGTTGTTTGGGTAATCCAGAGTTTATGTTGGGTTTTCATCATGTGTCAGTGTCCTGCTTGGGCTCACTATTGGGTTGTTATCTACCTCCAGAACCCACAAACGAGGATCTGCTGCTGGTGGCACCCTATACTTTAGTGATCAGGGTAGAAGGAGACTTGCTTTCCTGGCTCGTGAGAGAATTCCAGAGGGCTTTGATGGCCTCAAAGTGGGACTCATTTCAAGACGATAAAATTCCTACTAAGTGGATTGAGACATCTCTAAATGGCAGGCCCATTTATAACTTCTCTGCCTGAGCAGTTTAAGTGGCCAAGAGACACTGTTATGACCAGCCACCACTGTAGTAATTCAGGCTGTTCTCTATACTCCTTACCCCTGACTGGTTCCTACTGTCTGTTTGTGGTGGGTGCAAGATTACCTGTTACTAATGGGTCACCATAATATCCTCTGAAGCCACCAATAGTAAATTCTTTCATAGACACATCTAAACTAGCACAATGTCGATCTCCAGGGAGTCACCCCACCTTGTGCCATCCTCTACTGGGTCCAAGAATAATCTCTACAAAGCTCAGCTTCCTTTTTGTTCTAGAACGATGCCATTAGCCCTGCTGACTCTACAGCTTGCTGCTGCAAGGCTTTGGACAGATCAGCCTCCACAGTTGCAAAACCAGATTTTAAGACAGAGTCTCACTAAGTAGATGAGGCTGTCCTTGAACTCACAGAGATCTACCTGCCTCAGCCTGCCAATGCTGGCATTAAAGGTATATGTCACCACACCCATCTGGCATAGTTAAATTCTTAGAATAAATCTCAACCAACATTTCTTCCTCCCTCCTCCCCCTTCCTCTCTCTCCTCTCATCCTATGTTACAGAATAATCCTTTTGTACACTGTGAAGATATGTCTCTGCCAAGGGATCTTCTTATTGGTTTAATAAAAGAGCTTACTGGCCAATAGTTAGGCAGGAAGAAGTTAGGCAAGACAGCCAAACTCAGAGGACACTGGGAAGAAGAAGAGAGTGGAGTAATGCAGAGTCACCAGCTAGACTGAGAAGAAGCAGGAGATGAACATGCTGTGCTGAAAACAGTTACTGCCATTTGGTAGGGCATTGATTAAAAAATATATATGGGTTAATTTAAGATGTGAGAGCTAGTTAGTAACGAGCCTAAGTTTTTGGTAGAGCATTTATAATTAATAAGGATTCTCCATGTGATTATTTGGGAGCTGGCAGGTAGAACAGAGCTGACTGGAGGTCCCAACAGAAAACCAAGCCTACACCTAAAGGTTCTGTTCCTCTAGAGAACCTTGAACTAGTGCAAATAAATACCTTCCTTTCCCCCCCCCCACAGGGCTTTTGGCTATGTAGCCAAAGATCACATTGAATTTCTGATCTTTAGGATCGAATGTGTGTGCTACCATACCCATTTTATGTGATACTGGGGATCTAACTTGGGGTCTCCTGCATGCTGGGCAAGCAAAGTACCTACTAAGGTACATCCCTAGTCCTTCATTCATTCATTTAAAAAACTGAGCACTTACTGCATAGCAGACACTTTTTTGTTTGGTTTGGTTTCAAGACAGAGTCTCTGTAGCCCAGGCTGGCCTCAAACCCTCAGCAATTCTGCTGCCTTGACCTCCCATGCTCTGGGATTAAAGGTGTTAGCCGCCATAGCCAGCTGAGACACCTTTATGTTCTTGACAATTCTCAGCAAAGATTCCTGGCTCTGTGGAACTTCTACTGTTGTGAGTGGAAGAGACAGTGGACTATAAATATCTTAGAGCAAATGTGTTAGAAAGTGTTCAGGACAAAGAAAGAGGGGGGAACAAAGTAGAATCTGGAGAAGCAAGACACACTGGTATTGCTTATTATTTTTCTTGTCCTGCCAGGTCCTACCGCCCTTCTCAGTCCCAAATAAGCACACAGATGCTCTATTAATTATTAAACTATTGGCTGACCTCTAGAGCTTCTTACTGGCTAGCTCTGTCTTAATTATTAACCCATTTCTATTAAGCTATGTATTTCCACATGGTCTTGGCTTACCAGAGAATGCCTGGACCTGTTATTCCTTTGGTAGCTACATGGCGACTCTTTCCGGTATTTCTCTGCCTACCTTTTTCCCAGAATTCTCCTCATCTCCTAGCCCCGCCTATTTTCCTGCCTCTCTCATCCAAACAGTGTTTTATTCATCAACCAATAAGAGAAACATATATACAGAATGACATCCCCCATCACACTGGGTAAGAGGTTGGTCATGTGGAAACCACCATCACCTTCAACACTCAAGGGACCCGGGCTCTGGATTGACAGCTATTCCTCGTGCAACAGTGTCTAGCTTAGATCGGCCTCACTTTTCTGACCGCCATGGCTCGGCCATGCTTGAATGTTCCCTTCAGTGGACTATCCTCTCTCCACTCTGCTGAGTATCACGATGAAGTCTCTCAGGGATTAATCCCAGCCGAAAGCCCGCAACATCCACAGGCCAAACAGTTCCTAGCAAGTGTCAGTGTTTGCTGGGCCTGGTCACCCAACAGAAGACTGAGTGAGATGCAGCCCATCAAATGATGCCATCAGGCAAGAGAGAGGAGGTGACATTCTCTCGTCTGTCCCTTCTTGCCATTCTCCATTTTCCCTTTTGTCTCCTTTCTTGGCCATCCCCAGGATTCTGTGACACCTGGATGGGAAAAGGCAGTGTCAGCAACTCAAAGAAGAATGCATTTGACAATGGCCCAGAAGATAGCTTTCCCCAAGACGGGACCGTTGTCACTCAATATAGAGCAGTAAGGACATAATTTAGCGGCAGTGATGTAACCACGATAGCCGTCTGCTTTAAGGACATTTGTGTTAGCTGTTTTTTGTCTGCTTGACACAAACCAACCAAAGTTAGCTGGGGAGAAGGACCCTCAGTTGAAGAATTGCCTCCATTAGAATGGTCTGCAGGCATCACTGTGGGGCATTTTTTTTAAACAGCCCATTGATACGAGAGGGCTCACAATGCCCGTTGTGGGCAACACCATCCCTGAGCATGTAGCAAAAAAAAAACAAAAACAAAAACAAAAAAAAAGGGAAAGCAAGCCAGTAAGTAGTGTTCCTCTGCGGTCTCAGCTTCAGTTCCGGCCTCCAGGTTCCTGTCTGACTTCTCTCAGTGATGGATTAGGACCTGGGAATTGTAAAAACTCTTTCTTTTGCAAGCTGCTCTTAAAGGCCAGCACTTTATCACTGCAACAGAGAAGCAAATAGTTTCATTCCCACAGCTTGGCTTAACGTGAGGTCCAGTCACTATTGGATGAATGAGTGAATTTGAGAATGAATGAATGAATGAGTGAATGAATGACAGTTTCTTATCACTGATACCGCTCCTGGTATGCTTCAGCCTTACGCTTTGCTTAGTAACGGGGCTGCTTTGCTGCACCACACGGCTCCCTGCCAGTGCTAAGGTGACATGAATCCAAGTGGTCAGACTATTTTTTAATGTATTTATTCTTATTTTATGTGCGTTGGTGTTTTGCCTGCATGTCTGTCCGTGTGAGGGTGTCTGCATGTCTGTCCATGTGAGGGTGTCTGCATGTCTGTGTGTGGGTGTCTGCATGTCTGTCCGTGTGAGGATGTCTGCATGTCTGTCTGTGTGAGGGTGTCTGCACGTCTGTCCGTGTGAGGGTGTCAGACCTTGGAGTTACAGACAGTTGTCATTTGCCATGGAGGTGCTGGGACTTGAACCTGGGTCTCTAGGAAGAGCCGTCAGTGTTCTTAACCACTGAGCCATCTCTCCAGCCCGGTGTCCACATTATTTTGAGGCCACACAGACGGTATAACTATAGAGTCATTAGTATTTCCACAAAGAGATAAAATAAACCCGTCAATCGAATTTTACACGGGTCCTTTCAAGCAGCTCGCCAGGAATCTACACGTACTCCTGCCATCGCCAGCCCCTTCCTCAGCAAAATGTAGCCAGCTTTTGATGTTTCTGTCTGTTAGGCTTGATGCCACTTAGCCTTTCACCTGGTTAGCAACCGATGAGGACACTTCATGAGAAGTGACAGAGAGAAGTAGAAGTCTACATCAGATCTGTGGCTGACCCTCCTACAGGTACAGGAGAGCTGAGAAATGACTCCTGAATGCCCATTAGACTCCAGGTGCCACTAGGTCTATCTGTCTGCACAAGGACCTCCTTCCTGGGTGACACTAATGCTCACCTTATATCCAGGGTATTTGACTTCTTGGGGTTCACAGAGCTTTTCCGAGGGGACACTAGAAAGTGGTCAACTGAAGAAATGTGCCCCCTGTGTGTAAACTGGAATCGGTTCTGTCCCCGATGTAGAGCAAGACAGGGCGTGTGGGTGACTGCGGCCCAGGAGCTGGAAGCCCCAGGAGGGAAATCTGACCAGCACAGGGCCTGGCCGCAAAATTTCTCAGCAGAGACGAGGGTTTTCTCAAGCAGCTTTGTGTGGCCATGCTATAGACTGGGGTCTCGGCTACAGGTAAGCAAGGAGGGTGCCAGCAACCTACCTGCACCCCCACAGTACTTGCAGAGAAGTAGTTCAGGGGGCAGATTGTATGCTCCGGGGAATGGAACCTGCTGGAAGTATGGGGGACCGGAGGCTGGCATTCCAGCTGCACTGCTCAGCATGTGGGTGGCTTTGGACGGTCCTTTCCTGGCCTTCCCTGCCTTCTTTGAAAGCTGGGCATTATGTGTTTCCTATTGGAGATCCGGGAAAGGTGTCAGTACTTTGAAGACAGATGGAATACCATGTTACACTGGGCACGAGAAGAGATGCCTGTGATGTTTAGTTAATAACGCCTTGAAATCTTCCATTACATTTAGGTAGCCACCATTGGAAAGGGGAGAGCAACAGTACTTTTCAAAGCGATGTTTTCTGCTCTGAGAATAGAAGTCAGAAGGCGCCGGTTTTAATTTTCTTCTTGGTGTGAACGGTGGCACCATTGCTATTAGCTGTCTGGGCAGAAGCATGACCTTCTAACTGGCCGGTATGGAAGACTGAAGGAATATGCTCAGTTGCCAAACCTTTCAAAGAGGTTTCCCCAGCTATAGCTCTATTATCGCGAATTATGAGCCAATGGAATTGTCTTCAAGGAGCACCAGCAAGATTTAAGTTTACCTTCCAGGTGGGCCACAGTAAAGCAGAACCAAGGGGCTGCCAGAGAGCCATTGATGAAGTGGGGGTGGGGGTGGAGGGGGTGGGGCCAGTAACAGTGGTATAGTGAACTCCTGTCGAGAAAGAAACCTAAAATTTTTACAGGCCCCCTGATGGCACATGAGCTGATCTGTGAATCAATCTAGGATCATAATTTACTTTTGGTTTATGGGATTTGTGAATTTTCGCATTTGTTTTAATTTGTAATTAAGTTTTCTCTACGAGGCGCACCATATGCCACCATTAATTCTCTCTTGTTGATTTCTTAGGAGATACATGAGTGCATATTTTGATGTAATTTTGGAGGTCTTTTGAAAATCAGATGACTACGTGGTGAGCCATATGGGGCTTTGTTATTTAAAACACAAATTATAAAGCTAGAGAAAGAAAGAAAAAAAAGAACTCCTAACAGGGAAAAAATTAGGGAAAACTGGTTTCAAGCTCACGAACTGTCCACTTTCCCCCCCCCTGGTATTCTGAAATCTCCGAGGATCCCGCGATGTCTCTCTCTCTCTTACCTTCTGTGAGCGCACTCTATACCACAGGTGCACGGAGCAAACCTCCCCGGCCACGCTTGTGCTTTCTGCCAGGGCTGCACATTCTAGCATCTGCCCTCTGGGAGTTCGGCAGAAACGAGCGTCTTTCTTTGCACACCCAGGCTTCGGCGCTGAGCTCCACTTTCTCCGCACCCACGGCGGCTCGGCTTTCCCGCTCGTGCTTTCCCGGGGGCTCCCCCTCCCCGGCTGCCCCACAGTACGTGCAGGCTGCAGAGCGGGCCGCGGCCCGGACGGCGAGCGCTAGGACCCAGCAGGACTCCGGGCTCGGGTGGGAGCCGAGCCGCCGACCCCGGGCGGGCGCCGGGCGCTAGAGCCGGGTGTTCCGGCCGCGATCGGTGCAGCTCGGCTGGGAGACGGCGCGACCCGGCGGCGGGGCCCCCCGCGAGTCCAGCGCCGCCACAGCCCCCCAATGCGGCCGCGAGAAGCAGCGGGGGGGCAGGCGATCGAAGGTAACGAAAATGCGGCTCGCTGGCTGCCTCGCGAGCTTCTGCCCGGGTTAGCATTGTCACCCTGAGCCTGGCTGCCCAGCCTGCCCGCATTTGGGGGGCACCCCTGGCTTTTTATCTTAAGGTGTCCGCCCCCATCTGTGCGCCTAGTTTCGGATTGATTTATAGCGTGCACCCAGAATGGGAAAGATCCAGGGATGGCGAGTTGCTTATTTTCATTAGTTTTTGTCTCAAAAGTAAGTTCATTAAAAAAAAAAAAGATAGAAAGGAAAAGAAAGAAAAGTTTTTCCCTCCCTGGAATTTGTAGATAGCTTGTTTTACATTTTTATTTTTAAAAAAATCACAGACAATGGATATTTATAAAAATTACCGAATAATTGATGTGATTCTGTTTATGACTTCTGAGGGAGGCGGCTTTGGAGGGGTCCCCAGGCATGACTTGTATTTTCAAGGAACTAACGTGTTAAATGTGGAGTTTGGCTGGGGCAGAGTTACAACAGCATCGCTGTCGTAACTGTTTTGTTATCAATTATAAACAGAGCGTCGGATCTATGGGCAGTTTAAACCTCTTTTTCAAATACCGGAGCTGCATATCCCGGTGTGAATATCCGTTGAAGGAAGCAGGAATGTTTCTGGATTTGGAGAAAAACGTTGCTTTGAGGAGAAAGACCTAGATTCCCTAGCCCGGGAGACTATTTTTCATGCTTTGTTTATAGTCTGGGAATGACATTTGGGGAAGGGGAACACGGTCTTTCTTGGGAGCTTTTAATCGTGGGGGTTATTAATTTATTTAATTTATTAGTTTCAATTGGTTGGGCTCCGGGAGCCTTCCGTCACCAGGTTGTGCCAGCGTCGGGACACATGATTGCGAAGACGAAACTGCTAGCTCGGAAGGGACTGGACCCGGCTGGTGGAAGCTCCCCCGTGGCGCTGTCGTAGGCTGGGTGCTACTGGCTCATTGAGGAAAAAGGGAATGGCTTTCCGAGCTGAGGAAGACATCAGTATTTCCCTTTTGTTCCCTGTTTTCCCATTGATCGCCAGCTCTGCCTTAGCCAGGGGGAGCAGCTCTGAGGGTGCAGAGCCCTGAAGACAGCACGGATGTCTCCAGCCCGCTCTAACTCTCACACTGATTGGTCAGTTAGATGGAGACTTGGGAAAACAGTCACCCGAAACCTTCTTTTTAAGACCTTGCCATAATTTCTTATCTGCCGTCTTCTGCATGGGTTTCCGCGAGGTTGCTTTTTTAATCTGGGTGCATCTGGCTCGCTCTGCGTGTCTATATGTTTAATTTTTGTTGTTGTTGTTGTTTCTATCCAGATAAAGTAGGCCATTTTGGCGACAAATTTCTTTGCAGATGTCAGCTTCTAGCTTGCACTGATAGATGTGGGACTTCACAATACAATCTCAATGATTTGTGCTCGTAAGTTGTAGAATGCAAAGTTGCTCAACTTGGTATTAATTTTTCCTATTTTTTTCATCTGAGCATTTAAATAGCAACACCAGCAGATGGATGCTTAACTGTGTCATTACTTTGATAATTTAAGTGCTTTGCGAATTAGCATGTTTCTCGAGCTAAATCTGTCTTTAGACAGTGAAAGAGAAAACAGACAATGAGGAGCAAGAAATCCTGGCGTCTGCTTTGAGCAGACTACGTTCACATCCAAGAAAAGGGGTGCTCAATTACCACAGAAGGCTGAATTAGTGAGCAAGATGAAACAGGATCACTCAAGATGGAGCGTGACCCCCGTGGACATTTTCATTTGAGCCTTAAAGTGCCTCATTGAAGAAGCTGGGTTCCAGAAGTTGCTAACTGTATAAACACTTTTCTGATTGGTTTAAAAATTTAGACACAGGAAGTAGATGGTGTCTGGTAACCCAGGAATGGAGACATGGTTGTCATAGAAACTGAGAAGTGTCACCCCACCCAACCCCTACTACACATGCAGTCACTACCATGACCACACTTAAAAACAACAGCAACGACCCCTACATATCATCACAGTCAGTTGGAGAGCATACTGGCTTCTGTGAGCCTTCCCACAACATCTGTTGAAACCTGAGACCATGCCTGTCAAACCAAGGTCATTTTACAACATCAACCAAACTGCGCTCTCCTGGATTTCATAACTCTATTTTTATTGAAAATAGTTCAGGGGGGAAGCCTGAAAGCCAGGATGTGCATTCATGCTTACTTAGCATTTTGCAACCTCTGAGTCGTGCAAGGAAAAGGCTGAAAAGAATACATTTGAGCCATTAATTGTGGAATTGTGTGTCTACTATTAGAACACGCCTTCTCAGGGACCAGAATGCTGCCTATGGAGGAAGGGTCATCTGGGGAAGGTATAATGAAGTGTTCTCTGGCTTGCAAGCTGAGCTGAGGCGTTTGATCAGGAAGGTCTATGGTATTTTGGACAGGTTTTCTCTCTGGCTGCCTGAGCAGAAACAGGCAGACTGCCTGGTGCTCTGGAGAGCGAAGGGCGGGGTGTTCTTGGTAGCCGAGCAGGGAGAGGAAGCACTCCTAAGAGGAATGGGGACCGTTTCCAGAATGCAAATGGGACTGCCCAGTTGATTTAGAAACATTTCCTCTCCCATGAATGGAGAATGGTGCTTTCATTTTGAGGCAATTTTAGGGGCTCCCCCCACCAAGCCACCAGTACCTATGTCAGCTGTATCTTCTGATGAGGAATGCCAAGGAGATGAGTTTAACCCGCTCCCCCATGCCATGTTTCATTTATTTGCTAAGCGGAAAGTAGCCAAGCGTGCTTCCACTAAATTTTGACTTTGAGGCTTTTCGGTAAAACTTGACAATATAAAAATCAACACGTTTGCTAGACTTTGACCCATCTTGTCAATGTCAATCTTTAAATTACAGAGTGTTTTTTAAGATTTATTTTTATTATCATTAATTATGTGTTAACTGCGTGTGGGAATGGGCACTTGAGTGGCCATGCCCAGTGAGACCAAAGGGATCTTATGGAGCTGGGGTTACAGACTGTTGTGAGCCCCCTGACATGGGTGCTGGGGATGGAACTCAGGTCCTGTGGAAGGGACCTCTTTACTCCAGACCCCTGAGCTTTAAGTTCTTTATATTTGTTTAGAAGTAACTTCCCTCTGTACATGATATATTTAGCACTGCACTGTTTTTTTTTTCTTAAAACTTAAATTGCACTTTGACCTTTCTCAGAGAACCTGGCATCTCCCTTGTTTTCCCTCAACTGATTGCCTCAAAGAGAGGGGAGAGACAGAAGAGCTCCTAAACATGTTTTAATGTCGATTCAATATCCTGTGTCGATGGTGTAGCAAACAGCTTAGGGCCATGTAGTGTCTATCATTTGGTTTCTGGTGTATTTTACAACCCCACATTATCAAGTATTTAGTGCTCCGGGTTAGCAAGTTTAGTTTAGTGACATGACCGGTCTCTGTCAGCAAGATTTCCTGTTGAGAACTTTCTTATCTGCAAATACTGCAGTCAGCCATCGCAGGAAACCTGTCAGTTGCTTGTTTTTACAAACTGAAGGAAATGAATGAGACCTGTTGGTTTCTAGAATTTACCTCCATTCTTCACAGCCTGCCCAGAATTTTGCTCAGAGCAGTTCAAAGAAGGTGACTTTGGGGCTGTACAAAGAATTCGCTTCAAATCGTTAGCGCATCTGTGAATTTCTTTTTTGACTTTACAATTAGAAAAATTAATCCTTACACTGTCATGTAAAGCTTATTTCACCAATACAAATTAACAAGATGTTCAATAAAGTCCTAATTCATTTTCAGTTGTCAGAAAGTCGCTCACATAATCACTGAAGCTGGCATTTTGTGATGGCTGTGCCAGATTTTTAACAGTGGCTCCAGAATACCAACCAAATGCCAGTCTTAATTTTGAACTAGTGCAGAAAGGAGAGAGAGAGAGAGAGAGAGAGAGAGAGAGAGAGAGAGAGAGAGAGAGAGAGAGAGAGAGAGCTAAACTTTCCTCCTTGCTTATGAGGGGAACTGGTTCATGAAGTACCCATGTCGGGCGTGTGCCAACCTCTCTGGTAGCAGAGAGCCCGAAGTTAGGGGTGGGTTTATGAAAGACACTTGAGAGAAAAACACACCATAGCTTTGAAAGCATTGACTGTTTGAAAGGACTATTTATTTAATTTTTTGACATTGGATATGCATGTGTTTAATTGCCTCAATTCATGGATATTCCCAATTCTGGGAAAGTGGGGGGAAGAGCAAACCTCTTTATAGGCTGTAAGCACATAGACACCCCCCCACACACCAAGAGAACCACTTATTTGAATGGGCCACACACATTTTTGTAGTTAATTTCTGTTTTATATTTAGCACCAAATAGAATCTTATGCAAGCTCCTAATATCTGAATGGAATCAAAACAGAGCTAACTACTTTAGAGGAACCAGGAGGTGGTGAGCACGCACTACGCATCACCTGGGGCTAGACCTAGAACCCAGAACTCTGCCAACATAGTTGCAAACCCATTGCTTTTAAAATACCCCCAAACAGTCTCCTAAGTAGGCTCGAGGGAACTGCCTTCAGGGTCCTGTGTCAGCTTTGACGATTTTAGAGTACCCTTGTTGTCAGAGAAAAGAGGGGAATAGGTAGTAATTAGTTATGTCTTACAACACACCCTGAGAAACTACTGGAAACCCAGAGAAAGGTCTGACCAGTCACTGTATAAAAACTGGGCCTGATAACAAGAGAGGTGGAAGGGTATGCAAATGAAGGCTTCCTTCATAAGTTATAGTAATGTCATGTGGACGCGTCCAAGATGGTCCACTATCAACCTGCTGGAAGCCTTGGATTCAGTCTCTGTCAAGTGTTGTTCTGTCAGGGGTAGAGATAGCTTGTATAGTGTCTCTTGTGAAGGGAAAGATTTACCAAGCTGTGTACATCAGCTTGGCAGACTCAGGAGTGATGAGTAAAATGATAACACAAGGATGATATTTTAATATCATCAAATAGACCCAGTTATCTCCTCTCTTGTGAGAGTGTTCTAGAACAGCA